TATACACATCTAGATGTGTATAAGAGACAGAAACTGGATAGCATAAGTTGGCATAGCAAAAAAGTTATCGACAGGATATATTCAACAATATATATCCGTACGTTGAAGCAGATATGTGAACGACTGTCCTTGTTGTGCCAAGAGAAAGTGATAATACATTGCAGCGATCGTCAGATTCACAGTGTGTGCAGAACGCAATCAAGTTTTTTATGTTTATTCGTGTTTTTTTTTTCTTATTATTTTATTTCCGGTTACACTGCATATATAAATTTTGAAAAATCACAAACATTTGTAATTTACATGCTCAAAGTTAACATATACGAATGGGTGCATCAAACATAGTTGTTGTTTTTTTTCTTTTAGTAATTCTTTGTTGTATTGTAAACTATAATTTTTTTGTTTGAAGATTAAAAAATGTTGATAATTGTCGGATTACTGATTTTCAGTAACATTACATAATCAATCTTGCAGGGTTGTAGTGTTCGACATTATTACAGGAAAAAAACAAATTAAGGTGTACCTTATACAACAATGGCAAGCGTCACTCCTGTTGCAGTGCCTGAGGAGGCAGTAATCACCACAACCAACAGACAATTTTCATACGAATACGAGTTAATAGTAAGATGTGAACTTCATGGATGTAAATTGTTTGTAGTTATAGTAAGGTTCACAGAGATCAACGTGTATGACGTGCGAATTTATGGAAGAGAAGGAGAAATGGGAAGCGAGCAAAATTTTGTGGAATGTCATGAAGCAGCTTTGCAAGTCCATGAGAGGAAAAAGACAGCATTGATGTATGAGGGCAAAAAACTTGAAGATTGGTCTGCTTTCATAACCGACTTTGAAAGCATTTTTGTTCTACTTATCCCGACGTGCATGTTAGACGGCTCAAACGATGGGGCAATGTGCATTCTCATCGATAATGCAATAAATAGGACCAACGGGTAACGGGAGAATAGGGAAATATAAGAGTATTCGCGGGGATATACATTTATAAATGATGAGTTGTTAAGTGGTGGACGTCGAGCAATGTTGACATATATGGCGCATCGTATAGCAATGTGGATAAATGTTCAATTATTTACTTATTTGCAGTGTATTTAATGTGACAAACTCGTAGAAATATGACAGGATTCTCAATTTCGTATGAAAGGCAAGAGAGAAAGAAAAAAAAATGGTGCACATTTACATTTGCATTGAATGTTTTCAATTACTGGGGCGGGTTGTTGTATATAGTGGGAAATTTTTCAGAGTGAGAAAATTTATCATATTGACCATCTTATTATATGCACAAAAGGATGTTGGTCTCAAAATATATTACCAAAACTTATTATGAAATAAAAGGAAAGCAAAACGAAAACGCTTATAGCAGCTTATTTGATGCCTTTTCCAACGCATTTCACAAGCGAATTCAAGCATGTTCATTATATTATTCGGTTTTATTAAATAAATGGGAAAAAAAAACATCAAAACTCTTCAAATTTTAAGGTACGTGCACTTGAAAAATATTAGACAATCCAAAAGAATAGAGTTCCCAAGCGAATGTTGAGCAATTTTAGCCATATTATTCGATAATTCAACCCATGGTATCCTATATAATGCGGTAGTAAAATTGCTTGAAAATATAAAAAAGCAAAAAAAAAGAGTTTAAATTCCGTTCAAATAATAAAATATGTCCGTTTTGACGAAATCGTAGTTCTATCGCCTGCCTGCATGCCGACCCTTCCAACTTAGTCTACCTTTCCTTCGTCTGTTTAACATGATGTATCATTGTTGTCGTTGATGGTTAGAAGGCACGATGGTGGATACAAATTCGACAATTCCAAGGATCGTAGCAATCCAATATGAACACACAAACCCGGTGCACCGTGGCGCGAGGGGGAAAACGAGAACTAGCATCAACAACAATTANGTTTGAAGACGGTACGACGAACACAGATGTAGTCATTCCCTTTGCAAAACCCCCTCCTCTCCCACTCTCTTCCACCACCTCCCGCAAACTCTTTCACCCTCTAATCTTCCATGCCTGCTTGTCATCCTGCTCTCTTCTGCATCTCTGGGTTAGCAACCTGATCCTTTGCCACATGTCGTCCTAGGGCACACAGATTTAGTCATTCACTTTGTCAAGCCCTCCTCCTCTCCCACTCTACCTGCTCCTTCCCTCCTTCCATTCTCCCTCTTTCTGGCCCCCCCTTCCCGTTCGCCCAGGTGCTCCTCTCTTCTCCTCTGGGCTCGAAGACTATCATCTCTCATTGATTATAATCCTGCGGCTCCTTGCCGCCGCTCCTTGACTGTCAGGCCCATCTCATTGCCCCAAGTTTTACTTCCTTCCCCCGCCTGCCCCCCGCCAAGGTTTATCCACACGCTTGCACCCTTCATCTGGAGGTGCTACAAGCCCACAATGAGTCCTTGGGGGGGTTAAAAATACTCCTGCCCTTGACTCTCACTCCTGCACAACGAACAACCAATCCAATTCTACATCCATTTTGGGGTGTGATCCCCCCCCTGTATGGGCACATTTTCTTAACTGATACGGCTGCCGGCGAGGCGGCGGGGTGTGGGGGTGTGGGGGAGGGGGAGAGCTAGCATTGCGTTTGAAATGTGCACAAATTGCCCGAAGTTACTGGATCCTTACCGAACAGGCACTGCAGCCTACAAGACCCGCTTTGACTGAGAGGTGGTAGATGGACACAGTGTGAAAGTTGGGGGAGCGAGGGGTGGGGTGGGGTGGGGTGGGGTGGGGTGGGGTGGGGGAAGGGGCATGGACGATGAGGATACGGGTTGTACAGTATGGTGAGGTTTGCCGGCAAGAGAAGAGTCTCACCCTCCACCTGCCCGATAGGTTTTGATTGCCTCTGTTTCGTTTGGACGTCGTCGTCCACTCCGTCCTGCCGTCTGCACTGCCTTCGCTCAGCTCCGGAAACCTCGCCTCTATAAGTCGCAGGTGTACTTGTTCGTCAATCCCAATAGACCTGGGGTACTAGACGGATGGCAATCACCCACAATACTCAGCCACTCGGTTGTCCAGATGAACCCCTTTTGAAGACCGCACCCACGGTGGGCTGAAGTCTTCGCAATCTGGACAAATTCTCAGGGACAACGGGGGAAAAAGAAGTTTCCTCTTTTTTTCGAAAACTTGTTGTTGGCCTCTCGGTGCTCACCAACGGCCATACGGTAACCTTCAAATGTGGCTCCTTGCGCTTTGCGTGAATCCTTTTCGAGGCAATCTGGCCGTAAATCTCGCCACGAACGGGTATCTAGAAAGTCTGTGGATGCTGTCGCACCTCCAGTACTCGTGACTTCATTCCCGCTGGCCGCTGTGCCTGCTCTCTTGCAGCCCGCTCGTGCGTACAGGGACATAGTGAAGCCGATTTGGAGCTCCAACATTTCAGTCCCCCCCAGCAGACCAGTCACCACCATAGCTGCAGCTGGCCTCATGCCTTCACATTCGTGTGCAGCCCGGGCCATGCAAACAACAGTGGACTGTCTTGCTTGTAGACGTGAGGGTAGGACCAAGAAATAATAATAATAATAATAATAATAATAATAATAATAATAATAATAATAATAATAATAATAATAATAATAATAATAACAACAATAATAAATAAATTAAAATTTAAAAAATTAAAAAAATTAAAAATGCAACGACCTGCATGCTGAATCCCGTCATTGCCATGCACCTCGGGCCTCTACTACGTCGACACATCCCAGCCACCTGTCACCACCATTCATCCATTGATTCCATTCTTTTTTTTCTTTTTTTTTTTTAATTCCTTCTTCTTTATGTCCTCCTTTTTTTTTTGAGAAAACAGCCTGAGTGGGTACTTTTTTTTTTTTTTTTTTTTTTGTTGAAAAAGCCCCAGGTGTTGTAGACGCCATGGACCAGAACCACAGCAACCAATGGGTGTGACAGTCCTGACAGGCACCTTCCCTACCCTTTTCCCCATGCAGCGCACCCCCTGTCCCTACTATCCTCCCTCAGTGTGACCACCACTCAGGACCTTCACCCTACCAGTATCAAGGGCAACTTGGACCGGACAGCAGTGACAAGCACCATTCATCCATGACATACCCTGCGATATCCATCCCTGCCGCATGCTCCCGGCTACCCAACCCCTCCACTGTGCTGCCTTCCCCCTAATCCCACCAGCCACCAACTCCGGAACATTCGTATGTAGCCTGCCCAATCTTCCCTGATGCCCGGGCCATGCCGACGGAGTCAACGGACAGGCTTGCTTGTACACATGATAGTAGAGAGAGCAGAGGATTCACTGCGTTAGCGCTAACACTTTGCGTGGTTGCAGCCAGCAGGGCCCGGCTGCCTTCTGCGCACTAGCCGAGGCAAGTCTCAGCACGTGGCCGATGGCTTGGCCATGAACCCGAACCCCACGTTTAAGCAGATTGCTGACGTGGAAGGGACCGACAGTTGGTCCGTGGGTGGGAAGAGTGGGAGCTTAGTCGGCTTGAAGACGCAGAGAAAGGACAAGCGATCAGCCAGACCTTCGGAGGGTGGACACACGTGGCGGTCCTAGCGGCGACGGCTTCATCAGAACACCTCCAACGACAGGCAGATGCATGGCTTTGCGAACTGGAAGATACACGACGGCGCATGGAGAAGATAGTCGGAGACTTGTTCGCCGTGGCCCAAGCCTGGCCGGTGGCGGATTGGGGGGAGTCGACACCGGCTGCATGGCTGGAAGACAAGTGTCGTCAACTGTCGAATATCCTCTGGCAGAGCGAGGAGGATCCCGCGCTGGAAGATTTTGCTGATTGGCCGAGGGCTGAACCTATCATAATGAGCTGCAACATCATCTTCGACGAAGGCGCACAGCAGGGGGCAGAGATGAAGGAGAAGCTGATGATTGCAGCGCAGTCTGAGGCTGATGTCTACACTTGTATGGAACAGTCCGCTTCGCGCTTGCCATCATTATCAGCGGCGGCCGCATCTACATCAACAGCGACCCTGACATCAACAACGACCTTAACATCAGCGGCATCAGCATCAACAGCAGTGCTGCGACCGTCACCCCCAGCGTGCATCATTGCATCATCTGGCGAATCGGGGGCTACACCAATCATATCGACCTCAACTATGATGACTCAGTCTGCTCCTGCGAGCATCACTATCTCATCTCGTGAATCAGGGGCTCAGCCAATTTCAAAAACTACAGTCAAGACTACATTCAATACAACTGACGAATTGACAACACTGTTGATCTCAATGACACCAATAGCGCCGCCGCCGGCGACATCTACAATGCAAACATCAACAACAATGACTGCTGTTACAGCTCAAGCAGCATCAATCAAGGTATTAAGTACAACTCCGCTTCCGCCGGCCTTCCCTGAGCGCGGGGTGGATCCAAGCGCCCTCGAAACGGTGCTTGCAATAGAGCCAGGGGATTGGCGGGGATTCTTGGCTGGCAGTTGCGCGGAACATCCCGGATCTCTTCTTGCACCTTTTGCACGGACGAGGGTGGAATTGGCCGGGTCTGATGGTGGGGGCAGGTATGGTGGGCAAGGTGAGGAGGGTTCGTTTCCATGGGATGGAGGGGGAGATGGGGAGACTTATGCGGTGGTTTTCTACGCGGTGAGGAGAGTGCGGGAAGTAGAGTGATTGAATGTTGCCTTGCTGCCTCGCTTTCTGAGGGGAAAGGGTTTCAATTACCGATGTGCTTTTATCGCTGTGTTATCCTAATTAGTGCCCTCCCTTCGGGTTGGTTGACCTAATTTCTCAAAAGGAAGGCCCGTGTCACGTTCTCAATGCTAGGATGTTCCAGTATGTGCGCTATGCCATGATTTGGTATGAAGATTTGCAGGCATAGATTCGACTGTTCTTTCAATTTGTGTGCTGCCCTTGGGGCTGGGTTTGTGTTAATGACTGTTGCTCAGGGGAAATACGATGTAATTACAAATGAATTACTAGACTCTCTTTTCTCCATTGGCATTCTCTCTGCCCTGTTCTAATCTCCCCCACTCCTCATGGCGCAGAAGGGTTAGAAGTAGGCATAATTGAGGAGAGTAGAGTAGAGCTTGAATTTGTGCACAACGGGGTTAATCCTTCCTTACTGGGGAAGCAATCAATGCCCCTTGCTCATGCTATATTCGTGTCGAACAGGGAAGCTGTCTCCAAAGGAGCAGTGGCTGAGGCTCTTCCAGCCCTAATGGGAAGAGGCGTGTGTGTACGCGTTGTAATCAATTTCGTAATTGGAGCCTTGGGCACTGGGCCCTTTTCTTTTAAAAAAAAGAAAAAAGGACAAAAAGAACACAAAAAAAAAAAACAGCAAAATTTTAAAAACGACCTGCATACAGAATCCCGTCATCGCTCTGCACCCCTCTACAACCTCCACACATCCCACCCACCTATGACCAGCATTGATCTGCAATGTGCTATGCCGTCTCTATAGCTCCTGCAGCACAATGTCAGCCGCCAACACCTCCCCTGCGCTGCTCATCCCGCAACTCCCAGTCCCTTGAGCTTCGTGTGTAGCATGCGCAATCGACCCTCTAGCCCAAGCCATGGCAACTGACTGTCTTCCTCGTCTATGGTAGGAGATGGCTGGAAAAGAAGACACCAAAGAAAAAAGGCTTTTTCCGCAGTGGCTTTTGGTTTTGCTACCAGATCACAGGTTGCAAGTGCCTGGGAAAACCGGACGATGGCTTTTCCCTAGGGCTCCTGCCGTAGCTGCCCGCGGACCTTGAGGTGTTGCGCCTGGAGCCGTGATCTGAGGAGCAAGTATAGAAAAGAATTCTATTTCAGCTTCCTCCTCCTCCTGTGTGATGAGCCCCTCGCCATGTTCGTTGATCCGACATTGCTTGAAGGGTGAGTGGAGTACCAGCCTTGGGTCTCCCATTGCGGCATCTGCATGTGGCCAAGCGGCAGAGCCTGTAGACACCCCTGGATTGCCTTGCCCTGCTGCTGCTCCGACAGCAGCGTGTGTGTTGTGAGAAGGACCGCTTGCGGTGCCTGGGGAGGTTGAGGGCCGAAGGTCGTATATTGGGTTGACGTAGGAGATGTAGGCATTAGTGTTTGGTAGGTGGGGGGCTGCGGAGCTGGGGCCGGCTCTTGGGATTACTGTGGTCATGGTTGTGGATGTAGGTGTGTCGGGGGGTTGGTGTGCAGGAGGGGAGGGGCCTTGTGAACGAAAGTTGTGTATGGGAGCACCTAGCTGGAGTAGGGGAGGGAGGAAGGGGCAATCAGGGGTGACCAGCTGAGGGGAGGAGAAAAAGTTTGAGGTCAAGGGGGGATTTGGTAAGGGGATCGGGTCGTGTGGGATGAGAACTTGATTGTGCTGCTGTAGTGGAACAGCCATATACTGCTGTGGTTGAACTGGGTCATAGGGAACAATGGGGCCTGGGATCTGGGCTGCTGGCGGGTGGCTGAATGGGGCTAATCCCAGCTGGTTAGTTGCTTGACTTGAGGCGAGCAGGGGTGGTTGTGGAACAGGTGGGTGCTAATGAACAGGGGCCTGGGTGGTGGCAAGGGGGGGAGGTGGTCGGGGAAGATTTGAGGGTGAGGGGCATCGGGCGAGGGGAGGGTGATTCAGCACCTGTCTAGGGGCCGAGGGGGCGCCGCGTCCACCCTGGCTGCGGGCCCTCCCTCTTCCCCTGGATCGCCTGCCCGGGGGCATGCGTTCGTTGAAACGTGGGCAGGCTGGGTCGAACTCATCGTGGTACCACCAGAGGCATTTCTGGCACAACGGGGTCCCTTGATTCGCTAGCTGGATGCGCATGGGTTGACCGGAAGGGCGCCAGAGAACGATCCATCCTAGGAAGTTCTCTCTTGCGGAGGGATGGGAGTCGATCTTAACGTTCCCCAGTCTTGGTTCCTCCTCTCTCTTCTCTGGAGGGTGCATGTGCAAGATTGGGCCTATTACCCTGTTTACTGCATCTCTCAGGGAGAACATAGCTCCCAAAGGTACTCGCAGTGCTATGATGCGGTATCTGGCTTCTGCCTCTGCGTCCCTCAGATCATTCAGTTCTTGCTGAGTCATCCAGGGTCTGAAAGTCACTTTGACCGGGCCCTGTCTGGTGGGGATGAAATCTTGTCCCTTGGATATCATCCATTGGGCAATTTGTGTTGTGTGAGCTACGTATGACAGGATGTTTGGTCCTTCCCTATGTGTCCGGCCCCGCTTATGTGAAGAATTGAAGTTGGGGTCTTCAAACCATACGTCCTTATAGATTCGTAGGAATTGCTCCCTTTGGGCTACCGAGAAACTTGCGGCCCTTGAATCAAAAATTGCAATAACGGTGCGTTCCTTTAGCCAAGCTACTGTGGCTGTGGCAACTTCCTCACTGATGTTGAGGTAGTCTATGTCATCGACTATTTCTACTTCACCAAGGGAGAAGGGGGTTTCTGGGAAGAGTCCGTTGTCATAGCAGCTGTCTAATAGTGTTCTTATCCGAGGGAGATCGCCTGTGTGTATGTAGTGGCGGCCCTGGTCCTGGGACCATGCCTCCAAGGGGTGATGTGCAATGTGTGTGGACTGGTTGTATGGGGGGTAGGGGGAATGTCGGTTATTGGGGTGAGTAGTATCTCTGATGAGAGCTGGGACCAGTTATAGAGGGGGCTTGGGGTTACCATAGGTTGGGTTGTGTAGTCTGGGTCGCAGTCTGAGCGGGAGTCTTCGTGGGGGGGGGCGGCCAGGGTAAGCTATGTTCATGGGGGTGCATGCGATTGAGGATTGGGTGATGTGCTGAGCAGGGACACGCGAGGCTAATTGTGTTGTCTGGAAGGGGCTAATTGTGGGGGAGTGTATGGGGTATAGGGAGGGAGAATAAGGGTTGAAGGGGCTAGGGATGGGAACTACAGGGGGGAGGGGAGGAGCGGGGGTTGGGAGAGGTTGGGACGAAGGCGAGGGCGTTGACTTGAGAGGCGGGGTCCGGGCGGGCAGAGGTGCATGTGTGACAAGGATTGGACCAGGTGTGGTCTGGGGAGGATAGGGGGTTTGTGCTGGGGGGGGTGTTCGGGGTGTTGTGTGTGCGTTGGGGTGACAGTCCTTTCGGGGACTGGGGATTGGGTTTGAGAAGCAGGAATGGGCGGGGGGGAAAGGGACGGTGGAAGACTGGGTGTGGTTCGAGTGCGGGTGTCGGGTTTCTTTTTTTCCCCCTTAAAATTGCTGCAATCTATTCGTGGGGAGCAGCATGTGCTGGGAACCGGGCACATCGTCCCTTATGATGGAAATACATTCATGATTGATGATCATTGATGATAATTTGGGATGATTGAGGATCATTTAGGATGATTTAGGATTATTCAGGATGATAAGAGATAGATGATGACTAATCAGAATGATTGTCTACTCAGCACTCAAATACTACCCTATCCCTAATTTCCTGTATCCATTCCAGCCAACCAATCTCAACTGAGCCTGTGCTGTGCACCAATCAGGCCTCTTCCTGGTCTCACACCCCAATCTGGCTTGGTTACAGGGAAGCGCTACCCACCCCAGCTCCGACCATCGTCGGCCAGATTGTAGCCATTAGTCAAGTTTGCAGATCGGCTTCCTCCATTGGCAATCCCAGACCTCTATACAAAGCCTCAAGCTCCTACTCAAGCAGGTTACAGGGTACTGCCCCGGCCAGCGTCATTCTGGCACCAACTCGACCTGGCCATTACACAAAAAGGCTCAATTAGGAAATTAGCTAAGCTAGAATGCCAACTAGAAATCTAGGATCTGATAATATCAGAATCCTGATAAAAAAACCTTTCTGATAATGAAATTTGACCAGTACCCTGAGATGATCACAAAGATGATGGATAATGTTGAGGATGCTGATGACAGTATTTACTTGACTTGTGGGCAAAATGTAATGCCAAGAGGGTAAGGTAGGTGGGTACGTTAGAGAGGGGAGAATAAGGCGGGTGAGAGCAGACGAGGTGAGATTGTGCCGAGGGGATTGGAGTTACCTGCCGCTGGCATCTATGTGTCGCTTCCTTGCAACGTTAGGAGCAACAAGATTAGTTTTGGCAATTTCCTGCCCTAGTGCTGGTGATGATGACTAGCCGGGCAGCGTGACTGAAATATGTATTTCCACATTGTGGACAGGGCGCAGGCGCCTGTCCGGGTACACTTATTACTTGCTTCAGCTGTGAATCGATTCTGGCTCGTCAGTTCACCTCCATATCCCCCCCTCTCCCAAGATGGGTTTGTCCGGCGATGGCGCGGGGCGGGACGGCAGGCAATGGCCACTTCCCCTGGCTGCAAGCCTGCCTGCTGGCTGACAAGTCCGGCTCTCCTGAACCCGTGCGCTACGACGGAATGCTCCGCGTCGGCCGCTAGCGCCCTCCCCCCCCAGGCCCTTGATTTTCCCTCTGTTTGTTCGGGCGACTATGGATGCATTCCCATTGCGCTGTACATTCTCCACATCGTGGTCCAGGTACATCCACAATCGTTTTTCTTTATGTTTTTGTCTCTTCCCTGTCGAAGTAATACTAGCGTGCATTCTGCACTTGTGACCGCCGATGTATCAGACATAGGAAAATAACAATGTACTTCAATATGGGCCAGATCCCACTTGCAAAGAGGATTGGAATAAGTGTCTGAACCAGGACGTGTTCCAGGAAGAGATGCAGAAAAGCAGATCAATTACAGTTTTTGCACCTCTCCACAAACACGTCCAGATTCAGACACTTATTCCAATCGTTTTTGCAAGTGGGAAGAATACAAATTTGCAGTAACCTCCAAAGGTTACGGCAATTTCCCTCCCCCCCGGCTCCGCAGGCTGCTGACAAATAGTACCCCAAATAAGGTTTTTGGGAAAATGCAAACTGGGTGTGACTAGATCTCTTTTTTTTTTTTTTTTTTTTAAACACCCCTACCCGTGATAGTGGTCGGTAGGTAGTGTGAGGTGAAATTGAGAGAAGAATATAGCTATTTAAAAAAAAAAAAAGAAGAAGATAGTGGTCTCAACACTATTTCTAGAGGAT